GTCACCCACCACGCATTACAGCCTGCGTGAGGACTCTGGGCATACGTGGAACCTCAGTGCGCATGCGCAGTCTTCCTTTAAAAGTTCCAATTTCCCTGCTGCTCTCTCTCTATTCTCTCTACTGCTTCACTCTCTCTCTCTGCTTCTTCTTTGCTCTCCCTCTACTCTTCTCTCTTTGTTTGCTTTTGCTTCTCTTGTCTCTCTCTCTATGGCGACCGGCCATAGCGGTCAGCCATTAACTCTGTTTCTCTTCTCTATTACTCCCTCTACTCTGCCAGGCCCATAATAAACTGGTTAATATGTCTCATCTTGTGCCTCCTCTTTTTCTTTGTATCTAATTTAAACAAAACCATAACACCTCCCCTTTAATAAACTGGTTAACGTATCCCTCGTGTTCGTGTCCCATCTAGCTTGACCTTTATCTTAAACAAAAGAACCACAGTGTGGACTTGGGTGATCTCTGAAGTCCAGCTAACAGCCAATATGCATGATTCTAGAACCTTCACGTAGTGGCCACTATGACTTGGTTCTGAAACAAAATACCAGACAAAAGTTTTGTTTTTCCTTTGAGACAGGTTGGCCTTGATTTTATGGGTTCAAACAATCTCCATTCATCACCCCCAGGGTACCTGAGACTAGAAGCCTGCGCCATCGCACCTCACTTACAATGTTTAAACATGTGACTTTCAGCCACAGGGCCACAGACAGCACAGAGGAGGGATTCCTGAACGGAAACAAACACATCTTATGCTCATCCCTGCTTAATCCCAAGAGAGCAAGCTTTCTGAGCATGCTCAAAGTCACTGGGTGAGTTGATGGTGAGGTCAGCAGGACTCAGCCTGTAGCTTCCATGGTCACATCCAGAGGAGAAAAGTCCAGAAATACTCCTGAGTGGAGTTGATCTGGGGTCCGAGGCCGGGGACCCAGAATTCATAGGCAGAACATTGCAGTGGAGAAATACATCTGCAGCTCTATAGTATGCTCCTTGGAGTCTTAGGCTGAGTATGGATCCGCATGTGCACATGGGAACCATATAAGGCTGGGGAAGGGATCACCCAAAATAACCCACGGGACTTTCTAGAGTTCACACTGAACAGGGAATAAATCGCCTTGTCCCTTTCATCCACAGCACCCAGCCCAGGATTCCACTATTGTCTCAGTAATGGGATCTAATCAGCTGGACTAGAGACAGCTCTGGCTCCTCCCAACAAGACTAAAACCAAGTCTTGAAAGGATCAGACTGTTAATGGCTTCCTAGAACAATACTAAAAACTGCTTTAGAAGTGTTTGGTGTTGGGCAGTAGTAGTGCACGCCTTTGTTCCCAGCACTTGGGAAGCAGAGGTGGGCAGATTTGAGTTCCCAGCCAGACTGGTCTACAGAGCGTGTTCCAGGACAGCCAGAGTGGTTACCCAGAGAAACTCTTTCTCAAAAGGCAAACAAACAAAAACAAAAACACAAAACAAAATAAACAAACAAACCACAATCATGTTGGGCTAGAGAGATGGCTCAGTGGTTAAAAGCACTGACTGCTCTTCCAAAGGACCCAGGTTAAATTCCCAGCACCCACATGGCAGCTCACAACTGTCTATAACTCCAGTTCCAGGGCACCCGTCACCCCCGCCCCCAGACACACATGCAGGCAAAACACCAATGCACATCAAATAAAGGTAAACAAAAAGTGAAGCTTGGTGACCCTCACCTTTAGTCTCAGCAGCTGGGAGGCAGAGACAGGAGGATCTCACTGTGTTGAAGCCCAGCCTGGGCTATACAGTGAGACCTTGTTTCAAATAAAATTAGAAATTTTAAGCTAAAGAATATGTGACATTCAATAAGGTAAGACCCAAACAACAGAAAGGTGAAGTGGTGCCAAGGCCCGTCGTAATCAAGTTGCAAGACGACAATAAATTTTAGGCCCCCAAAGAAAAATATTATCAGAGCCAGTGAGAGTGTCAAGGTGCTGGGCTTGCTGCCTGCATTTCAGGCCCAGAACCCACAGAAAAGAAAGCACGGAGAAGGGGAAGGAGAAACACGCATGGGCTCTGGAAGGAGGCAGTTTCTGTTGCTTTTGGCTACTTGGACCCAAGAGTGAGGTCCCTCAGGGAGCCAATGCTCAGGCAGAAATCTGGGATTCCTAAGAGGTGATTTATGTGGGCCAAATCACCCACCCCTTTACCTGGAAAAACTGGGAAGAACACAGAGATGTAAAACAGTCATGTGATGCGGGGGTGTGAGTCAGCTGGTGCGGTTCCCAGGGACAACAGAAGATGGAGGTTGCTCTATTTTCTCTTCACTGAGGGATTCTGGGGTTTTGTGGCAGTCGGGTTGAATTTAGTGCGCTGGGACTGTGTTTAAATAGCTGTAGTTCATTTTCAAAGTGCTTCACTCCTTCCTCTCTGTGGCCGAGATGTTTAACTCTTCCACCCTGGAGTTACATCCTTAGCCCCCTCCCCAGGGTGGGGGGGTGTCTAGCAAGATCGGCCACAAATATCAGGGTGTGAATCCGGTTCCTCTTGGACACTGATCGGAAGACAGCTGCCGGCTTACTAGCACAGGGTTTGGAGCTAGGCCTGGCTTGGCGAAGAAATGAGGATGGAAGGCTGGAGTTGCCGGGACGGGCCAAACCCAGCTGGGATAGGTGCGAGAGCGCAGCTTGTGCATGTCCCCTACTGCTTCTCCCGTTTGTTCTTGAGGAACTTGTGCTCATG